TTCCCGCTGCCCGGCCCCGGGGTGGGGCCGCAGGCCCGCCCGGCCTGGCAGCAGGGCCCGAGCGCGGGTTGGCACCTTCAGGAACCGCCCTTCCCTGCGGGCTGGGACCGGCGCGGGCGGTGCGGGTAACCTGCTGCTGCTGCTCCTGAACGTCTTGTCTTTCCCGCGCCTGCAGGTCGGAGAAGCCCAACTGGGATTACCAGGCTGAGATACAAGCTTTTTGCCATCGCCTACATGAACATTTTTCTTTGGATCTTCTCAAGACTGCATTTGTTAATTCCTGTTACATTGAAAGCGAGGAGGCAAGACGCCGAGCACTCGGCCTGGACAAGGAAGCAGTTGCTCTTACCCTGCAGGATAACAGTAAACTTGCTGAGCAAGGGCTGTCCTTCTCACGCTCCTACCTGACGCAGTGCTTTGAAGGTGCCTACCCAGATCTGCCTGCACAGGGGGTAGGAGCACTTGTGGATTTTCTCACCAGTCAAGAACTTGTTTCCTACATAGCCCAAAACCTGTCGATACAGGACCTGACGCTTTGCAGAGACTTTCCTGCCCCACCAGACGTGCTACAGAGAACGTTCCTTGCAGTGGTGGGAGCCTTGCTCAGCAGCAGTGGCCCTGAGACAACAGGGATCTTTGTCAGGGTAAGTCGTTACTTACCATGTATTTTTGTACTGGCAAAAGCAACATCTAAGGGTCTCAGAAGTTACGGGGGGGAGGTGAGGGGAAAGGTTAAAAACTTAAATGTTATCTTGTACCTTGGTAACCAGAGATGGAGGGAGATAGACAGAAGCTTCACAACTCCTGTAACAAGACAGTTTACCATTGTGGTCTGTTAGTGGGTAGTGGTGACTGGGTGGGGGTTTTGGGGGGGCTTGGGGCTGTGGGTTTTTTGTTTGTTTTTCTGAAAGAAGTGCAGGCAGGTCAAGCACATAAAACCATATGATTCTGTTTTATAATGGTGATATTTTAATATTTGGTCACACCTGAGTTATGTTCCATGTACTATACAATGAGCTGGTGAAATTATTCCATGTCAAGTCAAATATATCTTCAATTAAAAAAAACAAACAGATCTCAAACCAAAATATTTTTATAAAGCATGGATTGGTAGATTTTACATGTAGAAGTGCAAATATCTCAAGATACTTCACCAAAAATGTTCCATTAAAATGCAATGTAACAAAGTAGTTTTTAGCAACTACTGTCCTTTCAATTGTCCTCTTCACTCCTTTCTAGTTTTGCAGTGGAGAAATGTTTGTTATAATCTAATTTCTGGTACAAGACCATTCAGAGGTCTCTAAGAGCAAGTAGCAGTTAACAGGCAAGGGAATGATCCCCACAGGTGAAAACCTTGTGGGTTTGCACGTTCCCTTCAAGCTGTTGGCAGAACTCTTCTGATGTGCCAGGGCTTGCCTGGAAGCAGCACTGCATCGCTCACAATCTGGGAGCTGAGTAGCAGCTTTGTTCCAGCCCTTGTCTCAGGCTGGTGCTGTCCCTTCCTCTCCCTTGGCTTTGTCCAATGTGCTCATCCCATCAATGGCCAAGTGGGAACCAGAGCTGCCCAGCGGAGCGACACCAGCTCCCTCTGTTGAGCTGGGATGGAGGGAGCACTGGGGCAGCTTCGTCGTTCATTTTAGCAATGAATTGTCCTCTCTGTTAATGCCTCTTCAAAGTGTGTGTTGTTAGCAGACACCAGAAGCTAGAGCCTTCATTACCTTTCCCATTAATTGTAACCTCTATGTATCTTTATTTAGGATTTTTTTATTCCCCAATTGATTGGAAAAGACCTGTTTGAGATCTGGGAAGTTGTAAATCCTATGGGCTTACTCGTGGAAGAACTGACCAAGAGGAAAATCCCTCCTCCAGAACCAAGAATTACCAGGCAGCTGGGAATCAGCACAGTTCTGCCACTGTACTTTGTTGGGTTGTACTGGTTAGTGTTGGTTTAAAGTGAAATGAATTTAAGCTGGGGGAGAGGGGAGGAGGGAACATGGTCTTTTATGTTTCTACTCGTGCTTTTTGGGCAAGTTTTTAGAGAAAAGAAGCCTTCCAGTGACTTCCAGATCACATCAGCCGTTCGAGTGCTGGCAGTGACTTGTTGTAATGACACATGGGGGGACATTCTGTGACCAAAGGGCTCCACAATCTGTGCCGGGGGCACAGAAGAGTCTGGGTGTGTGTTCTGGGTGACCTGATGCAGGAACTTAGGGAGCAGCATAACCAAACAGCTGTGTGCAGGGCTTGGGGAAGGGCAAAGAGACAGAGACGTTGAGGGAGGGAGGATTGAAGAGAGTCTTATTTTATATTCCAGAGAAAGATTTTAGTTTTCAAATCATGGTCATGATAAATGAGGCAAGAGTGTCTGAATTCGGATCAGGCTTAGGAAGTGCCAGTTATCCCTGGAGCATTTGTCTCGGGCGTGGTTAATGCTTGTCCTGGTCTGTGGCCCTGGGACAACCCCAATCACTGTCACTCTGCTAAGTGAGCTGCAGATGAATGCATGGGCAGATTGCTTGAGCTTTTTCTGAGGGATCATGCTTTGGTTTAAATGCCTTCCAAGATGTATTATCTTAAAAGAAAGAAAATTGGATTATTTTTATTCTGCAATTCCTGGTGTTCCTTCATTAACTGCTCCTGTTCAGTGCCCATAGATGTTGATTAAGCAGAGCTGAGCACATACTTCATGACATAGAAAGCTTTTCAGTGAATCCTTTTGAAGAATTTTTAAAATGCTTTCTAACCAGGGGAGGAGGAAAGAAGAATTTCACTTCCTTAAGCTAACCAGAGTAACAAATCGGCATATTTTTTCAGAGGGCTAACAAATTTAACACTGTGCAGAGTCAGTGGTATGTCAGGAATCTAAATGAACAGTGTTGTTCTTTCAGGAAGTGGATGCATTTCTGAGTGGAGTTTCCATTGTTGAATATACAATCACTTATCTCTGCAGGAAAGCCCAACAGAAATGTTTACATTTGTGTGTACATAGAAATTACCTTCAGCATTCACAGACATCGGAGAGGAAAAAAACCTAGCAGCCTTTATTCATGATACGCAGTAGTGCTCAGGAATGTATGATGGAAATATTTCTAATTTTATTATTTTTTTTCCCAAGTGATAAGAAGATTATAGCAGAAGGTCCTGGGGAAACACTGCTTGCTGCAGAGGAAGAAGCTGCCCGCGTGGCGCTGCGGAAGCTCTATGGGTATACGGAGAACAGGAGACCTTGGGATTACTCGAAGCCCAAACAAGGATTGGCAGCTGAGAAGGCCATCAGCAGTAGCTAGAACATAAAAGCCATTTCTGGTTTCTCTCAAGAATTAATGGCATCTGTGCTGAAGAGAGTTTCATTTAGGAAAGAGGAATTTGGTTTGGTTTGCTGATTTTAGGGGCTTGGAATTTATGGTATTAAAATAAAATCTTTTCCTTTTGCACCATGTTTAGTATTTGCTCATTTTCCTAAACATAGTAGAAGAACCCTTTTTCTGAAGTTTTGGTCTTTGGCTGAGGTTTTCCATATATCACAGGAGACTGCTCTTAACAATGTTTGAGTGTGTGGTAAAATCTCCCTGTATAGAAAAAGATTTCATGAATGCTTCCTGGGGGACTGTTTTGAGTTGAATTTCTTATGCAACATCACACGTTGGACTGCATCTGGATTCATTTGTCCTTGACTAGTGAAAACATGAAATGTGATGTCAAAGATACTGACACTGTTGGTGATCCAATTAAAAAGAGATAATAATGTGGAAATGGCACTTTTGAGGTCTAACTACTTGCATGGGGATTGGATTTCCCATACACATTGGTTTGCAGTGTTGGAGCATGCTCTGAAAGAGGGTGTACTTTTAAGATTTGTTAAAAGGATCATGAAGGCTTGAAGTCAAAGACATTGGAGACCATTGTTTAATGTTAGGCTATTAGATAAGCTCCAGCCTTCTTTTTTCTTTTTTCCCCTCTTTTTTGGTACTTTTCCTGTTTAGTCGAGGTACTTAATTGTTCTCCTGTCTTTTGGCTGCTTAATTTAAGTGGTCAGGTGACTAAAATACTGGATTCAGTGAAATCAGTTTTGGTGTTTGCACCACCTCTAGCAGTTCTAATGTAGCTCCGAGTAAATGGAGTCACTTAGGCATAACTCAGGTACCTGTGTGATGTTCCTATTAAATGTCAGAGAAACTCAGGAGACCACAGATGGGTGAGGACTCTGACTCTTGTGGAATAATTTCCTTTAAAACTGAGTAGAGTCTGTTAGAAACTTGGACTGAACCTTCAAAGGAAAAAAGCAAGAAGCTGAAGGTAGGTCATTGATTAAAGAGGTGTTTCCTGCCTGTTCCCATTGTGCGAACTGGTTGTACGAAAAGACAACAGATAAATCTGCCTTGACTAACTGGGGAAAACAAAACGTGGCAGTGGCTGTTGGGGCGGGTTTGCTGTTACAGGGTTTGCCCTACAAACATACACCTGCTGCCTTCTGCCCCCTGATGTGTGTGTGAGTGAAGGCCCCTGGGCTGTGTTGTGGCTGCTGAGCAGAGCTGTGGTGCAGTCCAGTGGTGTGTCCCTGCTGCCTCTGGCCCCAGAGCCAGGTCGGGTCCAGTCTGCCTGGTGGAAAGAGGTTGGTTTGTGGATTGAAGCACTAGAGTTGTGTGGCTGCCAGTTGTGTGCGTGTCTTCGGTGTTTGCTGTGAGCTGTTCCTTCAGCCAGTATAAAACCTTGATGTGCATTCTGTAGGTGGGTGGACATTACATGTGTAAAAGCTTGAAGATAAAAAAGGAGAGCAGAGAGATCCGTCTAGCATATAATACATATAAAATTGCTTGTGTTAAGTGAAAAATGTCAGCTAGGTAATCCATTATGGCTTATATAAGCAAAGCCAAGAAGGTCACTATATTCCAGGGGAACAATAGCAACATCTGAAAAGAGAATAGAAATTATTCTTACTATTTTTAGTTCCCAGATGAGGTATTTCTCTTAACCTTTACCTATTTCCAAAGGGCAATAGTGAAGGTGGGTTTTTTTACATCCAAATTTTGATCTACCTGCTATTTATTTATATACACTTTTATGTGCGTTAAGAGAGGAAAAAAAAGCAATTTTCTGGCAGTTTACCATAAGAGAGTTTTGAAGATGTTATGGTGCCTCTACAGTTTGGAATGTGGGCAGAAGTCCTCAGAGAATTGGACTGCTGAGAAAAAACTGAATAATGAAAGATAAATCAATTTATTGTGTAGTACTTATATGGAATGTCTGAGCTTAAACAGACATGTCCTATTTTCAAGCTTCCGAAGGTCAGAAAACGTCTGAGCTTAAACAGACATTTTAGGTACACGGAAAGAAAGGACTGGATTTTTATAGAGATCTGAGTGGAAAACAAGATTTTATGAGAAAACACGTCCTATTTTCAAGCTTCCGAAGGTCAGAAAAGCATTTTATGTAGTGTCTGTGCTTTAATTTCTGGCACTCAAGCATGTAGTCAAGGATTTACCATTGTATTAGTAGGATCATTTGCATATTTTGTTTTTTGTTGGTGTGTGTTGGTTTTTTTCCTGAATCAGTAGCCATGAAAAAAAGTGGCATTAAAAGATTGGTTGGATTTACAGAAGCCAGTATCTGCAAAGTTTGGTGAAACCAACAGCTTTTCTTCTACGAGAAACATTGTTAATGAAGTTTCATTATAATTTTGCTGTCTGAAAGGTGCTTTGTAAGCTGCTTGCGTTGCCTGTGCCCCAGGTGCTGTGTACAAGTGCATTCCCATCTCCCAGTGGTTGTTCCTTTCTTATGTTACATTTTACTTATCTGTCAGAGAAGACAATAGATCAAGGAGTGTGTGAATAATTGCCTGAAAAGAATCAGGATAGTTTATTCTTGCACCCTGTCAAACAACTCTGATTGTTGTTATTAATATTATATTTGTAAACTGTAGAAAAGGATCTGGTGTTTAGCATTTATGGAATTTTGGAATAGGTTGACATCATCTCAGGATTCAACTTTGATTGTGTATTTCTGTATGCAGCCTTTTAACCTCATCTGATGCAGGTATTTCTGTTACTGTATTTGCATTTATCCTTCCTTTAACTCATTCAAACCTTATCTCATAATCAAGATATTTCTGTTGAGAATTGGTGAACCACAAAGCAAATACCAGTATTTCTGCACTAACTTAAAATATGTTATACTGACAGCTGAGTGGACAAAAGCACAGTGCCATATGCTAACCCTTTTATTTTAGCTTTATTTTCCTTCTTGACCTTTATATTAATTCTTGTAGGTATGCTAATATGCTTAGGCCTAGATAGAAGTTGAATTATGGAGTAAATGAACCACTAGTCATTAATCCTTCAAAAGCAATAGCAGTTTTGCTGTTGATTTTGGTCTAGGCTTGAGTTTACTGTAAATGTTAAAATAAACATAAGGCATGAACAATCTTGGGTTATTCTGTTTCTGTCACCTACTTCCTTTGTCTTGAAAGTGCTTTAAAAGTGATTTTGAGAAAGGTAAGATAGGTTCTACTGGTCCCAGGTAAGTACTTGGAGAATAACTTTGGAATGTGCTTCCATGCACTTTTATGAAGTTACTTCTGTTCTCAGTATGTGCTTTTGCTCCTGTCTCAAGCTGTTCAGTGATGTGACTGAGCCCTCTCTATTATCTCCGTGCTTTCAACTGCAGCGTCTCCTGGTTACACTAACCAGATATTTTGCTGTAATTTTCTCTTACAAAACCCCTAACAACTCCAGGAGTAGTTATTGTGTTAATTGTTGCTGTGATTTAAAGGTGGGAGATTAAAATAAAATCACTTTCAAGTTAGCTCCAGGTTAATTCAAAGTTTGAAATTGTTGGTGAAAAGTTGAAGCCTTTCTTGAAATTTTTTATACCAAGGTCTTTTGTTTTTATGATACATCAAAAATTTAAATAAGCTGCTCTGTTGTTATGTTGCTATAAAAAGCCATGAAGATTCAAGCATCAAAAGATGTGTTGTCATTCTGTTTTGCAGGGCAAGGAGAGAGGGATGATGCAGTACAGAAACATTAGAAGAGCCCTACTTTTGTTTTTTTTGTCCTTTACTGGGTGCTGTGGTAAACTTAAAACAGGCGCTAAACTATTTAGTTTCTCTTGCATCTGAGCTTTGAAGTTTAGTATTAAGAGGTGCATTTAGTATAGAGAAGCAAACATCTAAGGACAGATTGCTTGTATTTTTTCAAATTGATCACTCTGATGTAAGGGCACTAGTTTTATGTGATTGCCATTTCAACTTGTCTGAGTCATTGTTCATAAGTTTAGGAAAATGTTCAGCAGTTGGGCAGTGAATAGCCACTGTCCTCGTGCAAAGTTAGTGGAAACACAGCTGATCTGTGTGGTAGAATCGGAGCACTGGTGGCTGTCAGTGACTCTTTAAATCACAGGGCATGGTTCAATGCATCTCTTTGTGATGCACCTAAAAACTGGGGCTGGTCAGTAGCTCTAGGGAGAGAGTAAACATTGCCAGCTCTTCCTGGGTTTATGGGGTAAGCAGTGTCCTGCCAGTCTGGCAGTTGCTTGTAACTGTTGCACTGATTTTGACTGGGATAGAGTTTTTTTCACAGAAGCTCTTATGGGGCTATGTTTTTTGTTTGTGCTGGAAACAGTGTGTTGATAATGCAGAGATGTTTTTGTTACTGCTGAGCAGTGCTTGCCCACACAGGCCAGGACTTTCCTGCTTCTCACCTCACCAGTGAGTAGGCTGGAGGTGCACATGAAGTTGGGAGGAGACAGAGCTGGTACAGGTGACCCTGACTGACCAAAGGGACATCCTGTACCATACTCAGCATATAAACCTGAGGGAAGAAGGAAGAAGAGTGGGACATTCCAAGGGATTTTGTCTTCCCAATTAACTATTATGTGGGAGGGAGCCCTGCATTCCTGGGGATGCCTGAGCACCTGCCTGCTGGTGGGAAGCAGCAAATGAATTACTTGTTTTGCTTTGCTGGTGCATGTGGCTTTTGCTTTACCTATGAAACTGTTTTTGTCTCAACCCACGTGTTTTCTCACTTTCATTCCTCTGATTTGTGCCTCCGTCCTGTGGGGGTTGGAGGGGGGGATGAGTGGCTGTGTGGGGCTTAGTTGCTGGCTGGGGCTAAACCATGGCTGTGTGTGTGAATGTCCTGTTTGGTGTTCAAATGTGTGATCAGAATTCCTACAGTGCAGATACTGTACAGCTATCAGGGACCTTCTGGACCATCAAGACAATTCCTCTCCATCACAGCTATGTCATGCAAGTCTTTTCCTAAACAGATTGAGCTCCATTTTTGAAGCATTACATCTTTTTCTCCTGCTCCAGCGGAGGACAATTACAGAACCTCTCTGTTCTGATATGGAAATGAAAAATGATGCCTTACCTCTGCAAATATTCATTGTCAGCTGTGCCTACT